TGTTAATTGGTTAATTGATTGTTCTGGGGTCTGGGGTGTGGGAGGATTGGGTACAGGGGTGTAGAGAACCGTGAATCGGGTCCCCCTGTGAGCAGCCACACCAAGCGGCTCGCAGAGACAGCCGCGGTACACCGGGCTGTCGTGGTCGGGGAGTCGGGAGCCGCTGGTCTGCGGCCTAGACTTCAGCTTCCATCCCCGGCCTCGATTAGAGCCCCGCCGCCCGAGGACTGCGCTGCTGTGGGAACGCGTCCCGTCACCATGGTGACCGAGACAGGGGGTGTGGCTGGGCTTAAGGGCAGGGTTCAGTGTTAGTAGTGTCCAATCAGCGTGTGGAAGAGGTTGGTGTAAGACCGTCCAATCAGAAGAGCGCAAGTTCAGCTCGAGAGAAAAATATCAGCTGAGCCAGGCGGGTCTCGAACCCGGGGTTGAGGTATATAGAGTCGGGATTTAGTTGAGTGAGCTATACTTCCTGGCAAATCTGAAGTAACTCCGCGGTCATACTTATCTGGTATAATTACGGTACACGAAAAAAATCGAAAAAAATAAAAAGGTATCCCTCCTGTTCTTGCAATTCTAAAAGTAGTATCTCTGCTTATCTACTGTGTTTCGGGTTTTACAAAAGCTTTTCTGTGTGGGTTTGAACCCCGGTCTGCACTGACCGTACATTAGCCTGGGGATTTGAACCCGGACTCTCATTATCGCAGACCAGCGCCCTACACGACGAGCCATAGCGCCGCGCAGAGAGTTCAGCGCATCCAAATATAAAAGCTTTAAAACTGCGATTCACGCCCCGGCCGAGAGCAGGACCCTCTTCTGTATTAAGACAGAGCAGAGAGCACTGCTGGACTGCAGGAGCCACTGCACAACTGCAGTACAGATGAAGTGAATTGATGTTTGTGACGATTGAGGAGAGTTGGAGCTGCACTGAATCCTGCAGTGATCTGTAGCTGCTGTGATCCTGCACAGTGTTCAGAGGGGCTGTCAGTCCTGCCTGTTGCACAGGACTCTGCTTCACTGTGAAAGGTGTTGCAGTGAGTCAGTGTGACTCCATCTGTTTGTATTGAGCAGCTCTGAGTTTGACAGTATGATGGAATTAGACTTGAATTAGAAATGTGGACAATCAGGCTTCACCTTTCCACTGTTCTCCATGAGAATCTCACCCCTCACAAGGTACAGAGCTCATATCAGAAGTTCCCCCTAAACTCTTCGATATAATGACTAGCAGAGAGCTCTATCATCACCACGAAGACCACAGTTTCCTTCACAGACACTGAAAATAAAACCCAAGAGCACGGAAGAGGTGTTCACAACCTGATTTTAATTAAAGAACAAAAATAAGATAAAAACTAGTGACTAAAAGTTTGCTCAGGAGTGTTTTATTATGTTAAAACAGTACATTAGTGTAGTGAATTATCAGAATGAAGGAGTGAAGGACCAGTCAGCTGATATCGGTGTCCATTCCTGAGGCTGGTACAGATTCTCCAGAGGCCATCCCTGAGAAAATACCCACAACAGTGTAGGAGCAGCTCAGACAGAGGGATCAAAGAGCACAACACAGTTTACTACAACAGAGATCGTCTCCTTTCAACACAACAACTGACAACACTATTCCACATCACGATAGCAATTACAAGATTGAACAGAGAGAGACAATACAAACATAACACAAAGCAACCCAAAGAGATCCAGCAGAGACAAGTTTAAGTGTAAGATCTATACAGGTATGTATATATATATTCAACAGATTTCAAAACATTGTCTCTGTCTATAAATATTCAATAACATTACTGGAAAAAATAACATTTAACTGTTTAGGGAATTGTTTTTAAATAAAGATTAAATCAGAATCTGTATTCTTTATTTATCTATTGTAGTGCTGAGAAAAATCAATATTATAATGTAATTATCAACAAACACAATTCAACATGTAATTTCTGTCTGTCCTCTAGATCTCTCATGGACACAGTTTAGAGCTACAGAGGAGAGACTCTGGAGCTAAACCAGCTGGTTACTGGTTAAACTGGACCAAACAAACACCTTTTCCCAGCTGTTCATCTGCTGCTGATATAAAACATCTGGTTCATCTACAGACACACTGACCCCTCCAGGACCAGGACTGGACAGCCCTGCTTTAAAGACCCCTGGAGACTCTGCAGACACACACACTGACCCCTCCAGGACCAGGACTGGACAGCCCTGCTGCAGACACACACTGACCCCTCCAGAACTGGACAACTCTTACTTACTTTATTGTCCCAGAGGGGAAAGTTTTTTTGGAGGCAGGTAAAAGACACAACACAATACACAGCACATTTAACACAACGAGCCCATTCATAAAATGTAAGATGAGAACAAACATATAAAGTAAAATCTTCCGTCAGTTCTCACAGCTTCTATTAAAGACGAGCTCTTGTCCTGCCTACCTCCTTCCTCAGGGCTGTGGAGTGGACAGTGGACTGTCCAGCTGGTCCTCATGATCCTCACAGCTCAGGGACTCAGCCTTTGGAAAGGTCTGAGCTTCAGTCTTGTTTCTCCAGTAACAGTTAGAAGACGCGCTCCGACACATGAGGGTTTCACCATCATCGTCTGCTTCATCATCATCTTCATCTGCACGAAGGTTCACGATCACTGAGGCTCAACGTGTCTGAAGCAGAAATAAAGTTTCCACAGCAACTCGTGTAACTTAGCGCCGTGATTTCACGTGTTCAGACGAACAAAATACGAGACAAACAACAAAAGATTACAGCTACAGTATAAAAGGACGCCTCAGAGTTTTTAACAAAGAAAGGCGACACCGATTAAATGTTACTTCTTGCTAAATAATAACTCCTTCCTGTTTCTTAGACCCAGAGGACCAACAACACATTTAAAATTCCCGCCCCTCTCCTGAATCTCGGTGTTTATTGGGCAACTGAACCGAGTCTCGTGCATAATTGGGAAAATTTACTGTCACTCCCACTGACCAATCGCGACATCGCTGGGGTCAATCCAGGGATCTGACTGGCTGTGGATCTTCTCATTCATAAACAAGCGAGTACAGACCCCAGTCACATGACCCGGGTGTTTAATACACACCAGACACTCACTACTGCACTGTAAACCAGGCCTCCATAGACTCGTGTATCACCACCGCCGCCTGGCGGACTGTTATCGGAATCGGCACCCCCTGCCTTAGCCCGATCAATAGGCTTAATTTCAGAATCTTGTTACAGTTGAAATTATTTAAAGATGTAGTAAATGTAGTTAATTTAGTATCCAGAGTAACGAATATATATCGAAATATCCCATGTTAAAACGATCATGATCATTACAATTATACTCATCAAAAGTTCTAATTTTTTTTTTCAAAAGACTCCAAAAGATAAGCCTGAAAAATAATCTAGAATACAAATGTTAGAGGATTATGCGAACAATCAGTTCAATACAGAAGCAGGAAAACCCAATGTTCAGCTCACACCTGAAGAACACTCCACGGCCGAAACGTTGTTTTCTTTCTTCTCTTTTCAGCAGGGAATAAACCTATTACTTGTTCCTTTGCAGTTCACGCATGCTGACACGGCTACCCACCTGAACTACTCCAATCAGTTTAAATGTCGACATTTAAAGATGCAGTAACACTGTGAAAAGAGATGTCAGAAGGTGACATTTCACAGTGTGGCCGCCAGGCGGAGAC